CTGAATTCTGTAGAATGAAAGTCGCCATTTCCTACAACTTTCTCATCATCTCTGCTTCATGTTTCTCTGCAATTATGTATCTGTAAACCTTGTATTGGTTTCCAATGAACTTCTTCTCCTCCTCCATAGTCTTTTGGGCAGATGACCTCACTTGACTCAGGTCCAACATTTTTCTGTATTTGTCAACTAGCTTGCTAATCTTTCCAGTGCCAGATTCACACCTGATTTGATGTGATGAAAGTGAGGCAAAGTCAAAAGGTGCCCATTTGTTTAATTCATTTTCTGCAAACCTCTTATTCAGATGATCTCGCAGCAGGGAGATGAAACTTAGGGTGTGTCTAGACTACAGAGTTTTGTCGACAAAAGTGGACTTTTGTCGACAAAACTATACCTGCGTCTACACTACCACTGAGTTCTGTCGACATAACGTCGACAGAACTCAGCAGTTTTGTCGATGCTGGTAAACCTCATTTTACAAAACTAGCAGATCGGGATCTACTGGTATATCTTGGAGACCCTGACTGGGGATCCTGACCAGTTTTGGTAGGAAGCTCTCAACCACTGGCACTTCAGTTGCCCCTTCCCCCACTGTCTGCTACTCCTGCCCTTTGCCTTGGAGCTGCCCTCTCCCTCCCCGGGAGCTTCCAGCTGGCTGTGCAGGATGTTGGAGGGAGAAGGGGGTGTGCTGATATCAGGGTGTCCCTCCTCCCCCCACTCCTGTCACCCATCCCTACACACAGAGAAGAGGATGGTGGGAGCTTGGAAATGCAAATCTCTGTCACTCACCGCTTGACGCAGTTATGTTTTTCATAATGTTGCTCTAAGGCAGTTATCTTGGAGACCCTGACTGGGGATCCTGACCAGTTTTGGTAGGAAGCTCTCAACCACTGGCACTTCAGTTGCCCCTTCCCCCACTGTCTGCTACTCCTGCCCTTTGCCTTGGAGCTGCCCTCTCCCTCCCCGGGAGCTTCCAGCTGGCTGTGCAGGATGTTGGAGGGAGAAGGGGGTGTGCTGATGTCAGGGTGTCCCTCCTCCCCCCACTCCTGTCACCCATCCCTACACACGGAGAAGAGGATGGTGGGAGCTTGGAAATGCAAATCTCTGTCACTCACACACCGAGTGTGTCTCTGTCACTCTCACAAACACTAACTGTCCTTCTGTCTCATCTCCCGACCTAACACACACGATGGGGGGGAGGGTTGTTACTTCTTGTACTGCTTACAAAGGGGATTATTTTTTATTTTTGTCAGGTCTGTGCATTACGTAACTTTCATCTCTCTCTTATGCTTAAATTGAATCTGTTGAGTTGTGAGTTCTAACAAGCCTCACCTGTCGTGGCTGAGTAATTATCCCTGTGCTAACTGCTGCTCCTGGAAGTGGCTGGCATGTCTCTGCAGCCCGTGAAAAAGGCAGAGCAGGGGGTCTCCACAGGCTGTCCTTGCCTGCAGACACTGCTCCTGCAGTTTCCATTGATGAGTAACAGGGAAACATGGCCAGTAGAAGCTGTGGGCTGAGTGCCTGTAGATGAGGGGCAGCACATGGAGCCATTGCTGTACATGCCAGCTGCTGTCAGGAGTGGGGCAGGGCCAGGGCAGAAGTAAGCCTGCCTTAGCCCCACTACTCCGTCACCTGGAAGCCATTTCAGCTGAATGATGCCCAGCCAAAGCCTGGGCCTGTCCCAGCCCCGAACTTCCTCCTGCACCCAACCTCCTGCCCCAGGCAAGAATCCCCCTGCACCCAAACTCATTCCCTGAGCTTATGCCCTAAAAATCCTCCTGGACCCAAAACCCACACCCTGGGCAACACATGGAGCCTCTGCTACACTCCAATGCCCTTGGCCCAAGACCAGAGCCTACACCCCAACCCCCTACCTCAGCCTGGTAAAAGTGAGTGAAGATGGGGGAGGAAGAGGGACTGAGGGTATGTCTACACTACCCCGCTAGTTGGAACTAGCGGGGTAATGTAGGCATACTGCACTTGCAAATGAAGCCCGGGATTTGAATTTCCCGGGCTTCATTTGCATAAACTGGGCGCCGCCATTTTTAAATCCCTGCTCGTTCGAACCCCGTGCCACACGGCTACACGCGGCACGAACTAGGTAGTTCGGACTAGGCTTTCTAGTCCGAACTACCGTTACTCCTCATTCCACAAGGAGTAACAGTAGTTCGGACTAGGAAGCCTAGTCCGAACTACGTAGTTCGTGCCGCGTGTAGCCGCGTGGCACGGGGTTCGAACGAGCAGGGATTTAAAAATGGCGGCGCCCAGTTTATGCAAATGAAGCCCAGGAAATTCAAATCCCGGGCTTCATTTGCAAGTGCGGTATAACTACATTACCCTCCTAGTTCGAACTAGGAGGGTAGTGTAGACATACCCTGAGAGAGCAGGGGGAGTCATTTGACAAGGGGCACGAAGGACGAGCTTTAGGGCTGTTTCAGTTTGAGGTAGATCTCAAAATGCACTTTTATCGAAAACACGATTTTATGGTTAAAGAGGTTGGAGAGCATCAACTCTAAGAGCCTCTTTCTCCAAGGTACGGCCCTCTCATCTAGTGGATCCAGGCCCTTGCTAACTGTACAGCTGCCATTGTTAAAGAGCTCTTCTGAAAGCATTTGGTCAGTTCTCCTAATTCATGTAAGACATTTAATACAGCAACCGTGAAATGGTAATTGGTGTCAGAAACTTTATTCAGGCTGTACGTAGCTAATAGGCCATTATTTTCTGAGATTTCCCATTCAAAATATGTAAGAAGAGTCTCATAATTACACCTCAAAGCACTTACAGCAAAATGTCTAAATAGCCACTTTACTACATTTGGAGGTAGTTACTGAAATTGTCCTCTTCGGACTGAGGAGCTGCAAAAGTCCTTACAAAGGGTCTTCAAAAGTGTCTCTATTGTCTTCTTCGTTGGCCCTTGATTCCACGCATCAACTAAACCCAGGTCGTCTCAATGGGCCACGCAGTGTAGTGCTGTTAAATGTGGGGTGCGCTGCTTGAGTTGTGTGGCAACACCCTCGTTTTTCCGTAACATGACTGCTGCAGCAACCGAAGTGAACATCACCGTTTTCATCAGGTCCATTTTTTTGCAGGTGTAAAAGTCATATTTTTTGCTGGACCAACTTCACTTGGCACTACACTGAGTCTCCCTGCGCGGGGCTCTCTCCATCTTACTCACTGGACCAGCGGCATTTGTTTATGATGCTGGAAACGGCGGGGGAAGGAGGTGGAAGTATCTGGAAGTATTACGATGCTCCAACACGTGTGCATTGAATGCCCAGGCTTTTGCTCCTTTCATGGTTCAATCTTGTCAGATTCCATCCATCAGGGTTCCCAGGGATGTAGGACAGGAAGACTCTACACCTTTATTCTCTTCACTGTCCCCTTCGGCCTCCTCTTTGCTGTTTCCCCGTGTCCAAACCTTCCTTCTTAGCTACACTATGGAGAATTGCAGTGAGATACGGCGGCGCATGGAGATCTCTGTGAACAGCAGCATGATGCTGGTTCTTTACTTTTTAATTGAGAGCTGCAGAAGTGGGATGTGAAGGGATCCTTCAAGGTCATACTCCAGAGTGGCTTTGAAGGGAGGGTGGATCTCACAGAGCAGGCAGAAACCCCAGGGCCAACCCAATGATCAATTAAATTCCTACAGAGCGCTCAGCCTGGGAGACTCTGCTCTGGGATGGAGATTTCCCCACATCGTAGAATCAAAGAACAAACAGCTAATTTATCAACATAAATAAACTATGGACATATTTGACCCTGCCCCATAACAGCTTCCTACAACATCAATCTCATCTGATTTAATCTTGGACCAGCGCCTTCCTCCTCTTCCAGGGGACCAGGATGAATGTGCAGAGCCCTAGCTCATGAGACCTCATTGAGTGCAGTGTTTTCACTTCCCCCAGGTGGCTATTTACGGTTTAAGAATGCCTGGGAGAGATCCTGTAGGTGTTTTTCTCTGTCTGTGGGGTTCTAGAAAATCCGGTTGTATCTTAAGGCCTGGCTGTAAACAATCGGTCGGGTGATATGTCCGGGATGGAACCTAGAGGCATGTTGTCACGGAGTGTGTGTGTGTGGGGGGAGGGAGGGTCACCGGGCCTTGCACCCTCATCCACAGCCAGCAGGTAGAACAGAAGGTTTATTCGTTGACAGGGACACAGCGTAGCATAGAACTTATGTGAACACAGAGACCAAGAGCAGGCAGTATTTTTCCTCTCAGGGAGAAGGGGTCCCGGGCCCTTCTCCCCCTTTCTGCTCTGAGCCCCTTCTCTCATCCTAACAGAGCAGAGACTGACCCATTCCCCACGCCCCAGGCCACAGCCCGGTGTCAGCTCCGTCTACCCCTTTGTTCCCTGGCCAGTGTAGGCAAGACAGTTCTCTGCCAACACTTGCAGGCGCTGGGTGCAGAAGCTGAACAGGAACTGGCAGGGACATCCTCTGCACCTGGGTAACAGATGAATGCTTGGAAAACGTGCCCAAGAAGATCCTCCCTGGGGAACTGCAGTGAGTGACCATGAGACACTGAGATTCTGAAGTGGATCCAGCCCAGCCCGGCTCCTGTGAACATGCAGTTTGGGCCCCGGGGAGGAAGGCAGGTGAGGGACGGCTGGAAGGATTCACTGATCATTGCCACCACTGATAGATTAGACAGGATTATTCTCTTTCTCTCTCACTATCGTCTCTCCCTCCCCCACCCCCGCATGCTGCTTCCTGAGCATCCATGGCCAGCCAACACTCTGTCACATTTCTGTCTCTCTAGCTTGTCTGTCTGTCCAGCTCTCTCCCTGGGTTTAATTCTGTCTTTGCCACTTCCTGTGAGTCCAGGATGCTCCTCAACCCTTGGGCCTTCCTCCGTGTCTCCATCCCCAGCATCTCCCAAAGCCACTGGATCAGGTGGTCCTGGGCAGGAGGCTGGGGAGGGGCTAGAACGAGCTCTCTGCCACCAGGAGTGTGAGAGAGAGGGGCAGCAGGGGACACCGGCATCCCACAGCAGTGGTTCCATGATGGCCGAGCTGAGCACAGAGACCCTGCCAGCAACATCTTTTGGCAAGGATCATACACATACAGTTAACCACACTGGATGCGCAAAGCTTCATGCCCTTGATGAGATCATCGGGAGTATTCCCCTGCTCATCTGCCTGTTGGGGCTGGTGGGGAACGGGATCGTCATCTGGTTCCTCGGCTTCCGCATGAAGAGAAACCCCTTCACCGTCTACATCCTCAACCTGGCCGTCGCTGACTTCGGCTTCCTCCTTTGCTCAACTGTCCCTGCAGCTAAAATGGTGGGAGATCGGTATTGTGACAGTACCGGAGCAGAGGTAATCATTATCTTTACAGTGCTGTGTTTCTGGACGTACAACACCAGCCTGTACCTCCTGACGGCCATCAGCATCCACAGGTGCATGTCCATCCTCTACCCCATCTGGTATCGATGCCACAGGCCACAGCACTTGTCTACCATCGTGTCTGCCCTGCTCTGGGCTTTCTCCTTCTTGCTCTGCTGTTCCGCTGCTGTTGTTTGTTTAGGTCTCACACAGAAAAGCTGTTTCACTTCCCTGCTATTCGTCTTTGTTCTGAATATCCTGATATTCTCCCCCGTCATGGTTCTGTCCAGTCTGATCCTGTCCATGAAGGTGCGTTGGAGCTCCCAGCGGCGCCCGCCCGGCAAGCTCTATGTTGTCATCCTGCTCACCGTCCTCTTCTTCCTCCTCTTCACTCTTCCTCAGAGTGTTGTGTTTTTCCTCCCTTCCCATGGTATATTTCTGGACAACTGGTTATTTGAGGTGCTGGCCTGCGCAAGCAGCAGCATCAACCCAGTCATCTACTTTCTAGTTGGGAGCTACAGGAAGCGGCGACACTGTGGCTCTCTCAAACTCGCACTCCAGAGGGTTTTTGAAGAGCAGGCAGATTCCAGAGAAGACAGAAACGACCCCAGCAGAGACACAATGGAGACGGCTGTTTAAATCCCTTCAGCAGCCAGCCTGGGAGACCCTTTCTGGGCATGGAGATTTCCCTAGATCCCAGAATGTGAGCTCATAGAAAGGGAAAGGACCTTCCTAATTCTCCCCCACCCCTGCCCTAGTGTGGATCCCAGGGCTCATTTCTGCTGTCAGCCACCAATAGTTCTCCCGTGGCTTGATCTGATTCCCACTGGAATCAGTAGGGCTCATTTCTGCTGTCAGCCACCAATAGTTCTCCCGTGGCTTGATCTGATTCCCACTGGAATCAGTTTGGAAAGTCCATATGACTTGAGTGGGAGCAAGTCTTAGAGGGGTCGCTGTGTTATCCTGAGTCTGCACAAACAACGGGGAGTCTTAACACCTTAAAGACTCACATGTGTATTTGGGCTTGAGCTGATGCCAACGGAGATTTGAATCACTCCTCTTCATGCCAATGGCAAGAATACAAACTAATCCACGACCAGTCAGATTTCAATCCATCTACCAGCACTGTCAGGGTGTAAGGGAAGTCCTGTGTCAAGCCTTTTCCCTCACTCTAGCACAATAAATGCAGAAGTTGGGCCCGCAAAAGTACCCGAACGGCTTATCTTTCCAGGCTTTGGTATAAAACTTCCCCCACAATCTTAAAAACCTAGGATTTGGGGATAAAAAAATCTGCTGTCACCACCCATGTAATAATAAGGAAACCAGGGAGAGACCACTTGGGAAATCTTAGCCCTAAAAGTAAAGCCAGAACACAAAAATTAACCAATACCAGGTTAATAAAAAAAGAGAAAGAACTTTTATTATCATCACTATGTCTCTGTTACAAACATAATGTCTAGATGGAAAAGTCACCAATTAATATACGCATGGGGGAGCCCCACCATGGGCCAAGAGCTTAGTTACAAAGGAGAGGAAAACCCATTTTTAGATGGACAGACATCAGGGTCCCATTCCCAAACCATAAAACAATAAAACCTAAACTTTACCCTACTTACAGATAGTGAAGAGTCATTTTGTCTGTCCCCTGCAGTAGCTGGAGAGAAACTGCCCAGGGACAAAGGAGGAAAACCTCCAAAAAATCCTCTGTCCCAGTTTGAAATCCTTATCTGCAGTTTTATTGGCTGATTCTACCTGGCTTAGGTATAGTGAACGCCTTAGTCCCCAGGCTGCTGGCCATCTCTCATGATCATGGCAGCCTGTCACTGGCTATTGGAGAGACAGAGAGAGGAGAGCACTGAGCGAAGGGGCAAGAGAACGAGGTGGCCTGATTCAGAAGAGAAGCCATGTGCAGACTGGGTACCTGGGACTCGCTAAGGGACTCTGAGCTGTACCCCATGCGTGCACCATCAGGGAAACGGGCTTGGTGTTTATTTCAGAGAAGAGATTTATATAGTGTGTACACTCCCTACAGCAAAGAGGGATTGGTTTGAAACCCCTTTGCAAAGCCCGTGTGTGTGTTTGCTTCACTGTTTTATGATGTATACTCTGTTGAATTATTTTTACGTAGAAATAGATATAGAATCTTATGGTTATTATGTAGAAATTATTTAGACTTTTATGGTTATTATTTTGTTTTTACTTCTAAAGTAGATATTGACTAAGGCCTATTGAGGGTGGAGAACCCTGATGGGCCAGAGTTTTCTCCACCTTCATCACACAGCCCATTGGGGACATCAGTTAGTGGCTCCTGTATGGAGCCTTGACAGATATGTACCTGGTGCAGTTCATCCCCGTCCCGACACCTGCCTCTTTTGTGGCATGAGGGAAAATCTGGCACCTGCCTTTCTTAAATGCACCAGGTTACAGCCCCTTTTCCGGTGTCTCCAAAACCGATTGCTGAGGTTCTGGCTGCACTGTTCCCCTCTCCTCTTTATTGATGTACACCACATCTGTGGCCCCACAAAGTCGTGAGACCTCTTTGTCAACCTCCTCCTGGCTCTGGTAAAAGTCGCTAAATACAATACCAGGAGTAGGATGTTGGCCGAGGGAGGTCTCTGCGACAGGTGCCTGTTTCCGTTCCTCCCTCATGAATGCAGGCAAAGTTCTTCTCTGCGGCATCCAACAGCTCCATGGGAGCTTCAAGGGGCAGTGAGTGCTTTCTGGGGTTCTCTGCTCCATGTCCCCATTCCATTCCCTTGTTTTAAAGCTTTGACCCACTTCCATTCACTCTGTTTTTAATTATCTGTCTCCCATAATCAGTTGAACCCTGGGTCCAGTTGTCCCTCCCGCAAGGCTAGCGCAAGCCCATCCGCCTTGAGTTCAACTAGTGCTCATACTGCCAGACTAGACAAATAACCTTGTAAAACCCAGCCTCTAATAAATTGTCCGATGACTTCTGAATCCCCTTTCCACTGCCCTGTGTCCATCAAGCCCTTCGGAATGATAATATGAAGAAAATAAGGGAGAGAACACACAGCCGATTTTTGCTGTATTCAGATGAAGCAATTTTGTCAGAATTTGGTAACATTTCAGATTCAGAAGATCTAATACAGGGCGACTCAACATATGGCCTGTGGCAGTGTGGTTTGGGCTTACACAGGGCTTCATATAGGGCCTGTGGGTGAGAGCCAAAACAAAAAAGTTATTAATATTATTTTTAGTAGTTACATTCTGGGACCATCATTACGCATTAAAAGTGCTGTCCTGTGGGTGGAAATCAGTAAATTTTGCATTTTATTAATAACAGCTGAACTGAATTAAATGGGGGCCTGTGTATTGTGTAGTCTTGCCTTAATCTTTGTATTCATGCGCTTCAAAGTGAAAGAAGCTAGTTCCATATATTTGAATATAGATATGGAAGTATATGCAACTGCACTTAAGTTGAGGTCTTTGACATGTACTGTATCACTGTGGCCCCCAACGCGTACAAAGTTGAGTAGTCCTGCTCTAATAGAAACAAAATGCATATGTAATGTGTCTGCAGAAAGACCTCTTCATCAAAATAAACTCCTCATGACAGGAAAAAAACCCTGCTTTACCATTGTATGTTCAATAAACGCAGCGTTTTGCCTTTACCCCATGTAAAGATGCCGTGTACTTCTTACACGCATAATGTCAAAAGAGTTGGACACTGTGTTCACAGATCATCCCAGCCACATAGGACCACAGAGTCAGAAGGCACTGCCAGTTCAATCCAATGCCAAGGGATGTGGCCAATGAATGGGAGTGAGAAATAGCCAGCGTTATTGCCCAGGAGGGATGAAAGAGCCATGGACAGAGGCTGATGAACGGGGACCAGCTTGCACAGAGAGAGAAATGGACAGATAGATTAGGAAGGAACAGACAGGGGAGGGACTCTTGGCCATGCCTGGGCAGAGAATGGTGGGTGGGATAGATGTGGAAGAAGAAGTGGAGCGTGAGAACAAGTTCTGGCTGATTAATAATAGATCAGAACTGTTCCCCTGCAGCTGCCTGGTAGTGGCCAACGTCCGGTCTCCCCCACCCCTGCTCTTGGCAGAGGAATGTCTCCCCACACTGGGGAGAACGGAGGACACAGTGTACAACATCAGGCGGTCTCGTGCTCCCTGGGGGTGTGATAACATCAGGCAGGAACGGGGCTCGGCGCACTGCTTTCGAGCTCTTCAATGAAAATGAAATGATGTTCTCAAGATTAGGCCTCAGGGGACAGATATCAGAGAGACGCCCTTATCGATGTCAGCAGGGTCTGAAGAAATTCTTCCATTACAGCCAGCCAGAAAGGGAGAGAAACCCCGGATGTGTCTATGTAAATACAGTTTGCTCTTGCTTTGCTAGATGTGTAAATAAACTTGGAGGGACACTTCCAGAGTCCTGTGAGATTAAGGTGGGGAGGGTTGTACTCTGAGTCAGCCGGCTGTGTGCCTTCTAGGTGCAAACTGTAAGATTGGTTCAATCTGTTCATCCCTCCCTCCCTGTCTCAATGATAGAGCTGAAGACAGGTTCCACAAGGAGTCTCTTTTGTTCTTTAAATTTACTCCAGTAGATGTTCGACTTTCTTGTGGCTGGACTGTGCTTTGGGCCAAGAGCTGAAATCACTAGGTTTGGCCCAGAGCCAAATCCACCAGAAGCCAGCAGAAGCAACGAGCGGAGGGAGACAGAGCCAACAGGTCAGTGGTGGAAACATGCAACGAGCAGCCAGCAAAGGAGCGGCAGCACGATGAACAGGCAGCAGGGCGGTGATGCAGAGGCATAATGAGCGGCCTTTAGGGCGGTGATGCAGAGGTGTGATAAGCAGCAAGCAGGAAGGTGATGCCAATGTGCAATAAACGGCCAGCAGGGAAGTGATATAGAAGTGTAATGAATGGCCTGTAGGATGGTGATAGAGAAACGTAATGAGTGGCCAGCAGAGCGGATGGGGAGTGACCAGCGGAGTGAGAAAGTTGCCTCTTTACCTCCTGCCACTCAGGATGTGAGGTGAGCTCTGGGTCTTGGTCAGCAAGTGTGAGTGGGGTGCAGAGCAGGGTTGGGCATGTGAAGGGGACATTGACATTGCTGGACTTACAAACCTGAGAGGAAAAGGACTTTGCCCAGCCTGCTTGGGATGGGAGGGTAACTCATAGATTTGGTTATGAACTCTGTGGTGGTTTCCCAAACCAATATTAGGTAACCTACTTCCCTTTTTATTAAATATTTATTTTCTCCATTCAGAGTCTGTACGTGGGAGGGGGGAAGCGTTTCCCAAGGGTGCTGTGTGATTTTCCCAGGTTACAGGTGTAGTAAGTGGTCAGCAAGTGTGAGTGGGGTGCAGAGCAGGGTTGGGCATGTGAAGGGGACATTGACATTGCTGGACTTACAAACCTGAGAGGAAAAGGACTTTGCCCAGCCTGCTTGGGATGGGAGGGTAACTCATAGATTTGGTTATGAACTCTGTGGTGGTTTCCCAAACCAATATTAGGTAACCTACTTCCCTTTTTATTAAATATTTATTTTCTCCATTCAGAGTCTGTACGTGGGAGGGGGGAAGCGTTTCCCAAGGGTGCTGTGTGATTTTCCCAGGTTACAGGTGTAGTAAGATGAAGGCCTAAAACATAAGTCCTTGT